TCCGGCTGCCATGGAGATTGTGGCTGGGTGACAGAGGAAGTGGGCTGGTTATCAGGGCTGGGGCCTCCCCCTTCTTCCTGACTCCCCCCACATTGGGGTCACCTCCTGCCTGCACTCTAGGGGTGGCAGGAAATCTCACATCATTGCTGGGTCCTGCCCCCCACAGCCCTCGTGGGCTCAGACACATGTTTGTTGAGTATTTATTCTGTGCTACATGGCAATGCAGACCATAATACTTGCATCTCACCCAGACCACAGCCCTGGAGGATGGGAGGGACAAGCAATACTATTCCTATTTCATACAGAAGAAAACTCAGACAAGTTCAAGGTCCCTTGTCAAAGCTAGTCTAGTATGAAAGAAGGAACCTGGACCTCAGTTCCAAAGACCTGTGCTGTGTCACTTACTAGCTGATGACCTTGGACAAGTTGCTCTTGTCAAAAGCAGGGCTTTGGGTGATGATGATGACATTATAGACATTTGAATGTTATACTTTTTGTCTCTGATGATAGAGTGAGAGGTTTAAACCCTTGACATTGATAGTGAAGGGAGCAGATTTAGGGACAAGGGCAAAGAACAGGCTTTCCATAAATCACAGGATATGGTCAGGACTAAGCTGACTAACAGAAAGCCCAAAATAACAGTGACTTACACTTACAGGTTTATTTTTTTCTCTTACACACACACACACACACACACACACACACACACACTCTAGAAGAAGACAGTCCAGCATTGGCACCGTGAGCACACAAAACCACTAGATTGGCCTCTCTCATTTTCTGCTCCACCATCCTTAGCTGGGGGCATTGTCCTCACAGGCACTTCCTAGTCTAAGATGACTGCTGGAGCTCTGGCCATTAAGCTCACATTCCACTTAACAGAAAGGAAAAGGCGATGGGGGAATTGTAAAAGGGGCCCACCCAACACCTTCTTTATAGGAGGCTGATAAATGTGACTTTTATCAACTAAGCTCAGTGCCTCATTAAGAAGAAAGAGGGATGACTACTGGGGCAGATGCCTAGAAGTTCCTGGACTTTCCACCATATATGGCTTACTTACAAGAGTGACATAAAACTCAGATTGGTCACATTAGGGCCTCTCCCCAGTGTTGGCTTAGCCACCTGAGCCATTCTGCACCTTCCTGCCAGGGCCTGTTGAGGCTCCATGGCCTCAAGTCCCCACTTCCTGTAGCTCTTCTAGAATCCAGGACCCTAAAGATGGGGAGCAGGAAGGTGCTGCCCAGGGGGCTCTGGCTGGGAGAAAAGTGTAAGAGTAACCCTGTTGCTGGGACCTCACTCCTGGGTTGGCTTGGCTAGGTCGCTCAAATTGTTGTTAACTATAAGATCCTGGAGAACTAACATGGTCTCCTTTGGGGACTGCCATAGAGTTAGGCTGGGCCCTGCTTCACATTAGCGCTGTGACTCCATGGGATCTTTCTGTTTTCCCCTTAAGAGGAAATGGTGTCAAAGTGTTGTTGCTGCTTGCTTCACCTCTGCCCAGGTATCTCCCCGCATCCTCGGTGTGGCTGTGTCTGCAAGTGCTTCACTAACTCAATACGAATCCTTGGTTGATGGCAGCAGGGGTGGTTTTCCTGTGTCCTTTGTCTTCACTGTTAGTTGCTCTCTGCAGAGTGGCCATGTATTTGGAGGCCTAGATGGGCAAATATAGCTCAACTGTGAAGGGTCTTGAATGCCTGGGCCAAGAGTTTGAACTTCACTGTGACTGCATACTGCCCATCCCACCCTCCCCGCCTGTGTCTGTTCTTTGCCCATCTGGGGTGGCTCCTCTTCGTCTACTTGCTAGGACCTGACACAGGAACAACACAGGTGAGGTTGTTTGTTTTGTTCAGCTCTTGCAGTCTTGGTCTAAGAAGTAATCTCAGAAAGTTGGTTCCATCTGCTAAGGTGACAAGTGTGTTTGTGTCAGCTTTCCATCACTGTGACAAATATCTGAAATGATTAACTTATAAAGAGAAAAGCATTGTTTGAGGTCACAGTTTAGGAAGTTCCAGTTCATAATTCAGTGGCCTCCATTGCTTTGAGCCCATGATGAGGCAACACATCATTGTGGAAAAATCTGCTCACCTCATCACAAGAAAGCAAGAGAGAGGAAGAGAAAGGGGATGAGGTTCCACAATCCTCTTTGATGGCACGCTCCCAGTGACCTGAAGACCTCCAAGGTCCTAACTCTCAAAGGTTCTCCCACCTCCCAAGAGCAGCGCCCTGAGCCTTTGGGGACCATTTAAGATCCAAACTGTAGCACACAGGAAGAGTGCAATGTGAAATCAAAGGAAGGGAGGCCTCTGCTGACCCAAGCTCCACCTGCGTCTCCAGTGGAGAACAGGAGGGTGGACCTGAGGACTTGATCTTGGGACTGATACTGCCCCAAGCAGTTGTGGCTTTGCTGGTGTCACCAAGTACTATAACGAAAACCGAGGTCCATCCGGCTCGAGGGATGTTAGGAGACATTTTTAACCTCACAACATATACCAGTAGTTAGGGAGTTCCTGATCCAATTTCCAAACCCGGCTTGGAGTCAGTTTGCGCCAAAGTATACAAGACCAAAGCCCCTTTCACACTGCAGTGCTTTTTTACTTCTTTTTTGGTGTACCTGGTTTTGGACTCAAGGCTTTGTGCTTGCCAGACAGGCTCTCTACCACTTGAGCCACACCCCTAGGCTATTTTGCTTCAGCTATTTCTTTTAATAGGGCCTTACATTTATGCTCAGGTTGGCCTGAACCCCAGTCCCACTTCCTGCATGCCACAATGCACAATATTGGTTGAGATGGGTTCTCATGAACTTTTTGCCCAAGCTGGCCTCAAACTGGCCACTGTGACAAAATATCTGTGAAAAATATTCCCAGCTCAGGCCCCAGTCCACCAATCCATTCCTTCCTAATTCTTCACCCCATAATAAGCAGTGAGGTCCATTACCAAAAGAGACCAAGAGAGTTGGCTTGGTAGAGTAGAGTTGGAGGACTTTATCTGATGAATTGTATGCTCCATTTGGGAACAGTTAGTGTCTTGTATAGTCAGACTGGCCAATAGCCCTAAAAACAGCTTGGAATTAGGGTATGCCAGGAGGCCCAGGGGTCCTCCTAAATGCCCCCCAATAGTGCAATGAAATAAAACAACCAGATGGAGTCCACGTGGCAAGAGAAAACATTCTCAGCTCTAACTACTACAGTCTCAAAAAATGTCCTAAGATGCACAGGTGCGGAGTGTGAGATGCTAGGGAACGCATCTCACCATGGAGACTACAGAAGGGCAAGTTACAGGGAGAATGTCCTCAACAGCGTCCCACACTCCAAAGGCAGAAGTTTCAGAAGAAGACGAGAGGGTTGAGTGGTTGAGTAGGGGACAGGAAGACACTGATGAGCTGCAGAAGGGCAGTTTCAGGAGGCAGCAAGGTAGGAGGCTGATAGCTGGTGCTTCAGAGGCACCCTCGTGCGGAGGAAGAGGGACTTCATGATCCACTGCACCCAGAGTGGGACCAGCTGCATGTCCTAGGTCAGCAGGGGCAGAGCGGGATGAAGATGAGAGGTCAGTGGGGTGTGGATTACCCTTTAAATATATTAAATAGGGCTAGAGATGCAGCTCAGTGGTGCAAAGCTTGCTCAGCCCTGCGTTCACAAAGAAAAAAATAATAAAAGAAAAGCGAATTAAGGTTGAAAGATTTGCTTGCCTGTGCACTGTGGTCAGGGAGGCTGCAGTGGGGCACCCACTGATCTCCACTGTGTATTATTATGGGAGTGGAGGGGAACGGACACGCAGGACACGCTTTTTCTGCAATGTATGTGAGTGACCACCAGGTGGCGTCCCACGTCCTGAGGGTAACAACCACTGCATCTGGGACTTTCACACTTTCTAACAGTGTGACAATGATATTGTCTGAGGACGATATCATTGTTAAAGAAAAATCACAGCCTTTGTGCTTATTATACCTGTCTCAATCCCCAGTCTTGGCTTCCCTTATCAGAGGGGTGTCCCTCAGCTCTCCAACTCAGTCCCAGACCTGTGTGGCCTGGTCCTAACAGGGACTTCCCCATGACAATTTCCATTCTCTGACCTCACTGACACCCTGACCCTGCCTCTGCTCACCCTGGTCAGTAGGAGGTAGAAGGCTTGATCTTCTCCTCATGGTGGCCCTACAACTGAAAACCAGCGATGAAGGGGCCACTTGCTAATTGCAGTCACACTACAGAAAACAACAACCAGAAAACATTTGGTTTGTTTCTTCTTAGCATATTTGAAGTCAGAGAGGGAGAGGTGAGAGGCTGGAGGGGAGGGGACACAGGCTGGGAGGGGGACAGACACTTCAAAGAAAGCCAACACCTAGGCAGGTCCACAGCCCGCCAGCAGGTGTGGGTGGCCAGGCAGAGACAGGAGGTTGGAAGGTTGCTGCCTCGCTGCACTGAGGCTAAGTGGAGGGGTGGACAGGTGTCCCCTACACACCCCACGACAGGAAGATGCCTGGCCTCAGAGAGTGGTGCTAGAGGCCCAGGAACGACTTGGCAGCAGGAGACTTGACAGCGTCCTGGGTGTTTCTTCCTGCCATGCTCCCTCCCAGACTCTACAACGGGAAACCAGGCAGGGGGACTTATAGCGGCCTCGGGGACCATCTCTCTATACCACCCCTCACAGGGAGGAACGGAGGCCAAGAGGTACAGTGACCTGCCCAGGGTCACATGGCAGAGCTTGGCTATCATCCCCAATCTGGGGACAAGGCCTGGACAGGAGGGGAGTGGGCAGGCCATAGGAGGGGTCCATCTGGTTGAGGAACTGCAGAGAATTTGGGGTCGCAAAGGGTGGGGGTGTTACTGTGAAGAACAACTCACATGGAAGCTCCAGCTCCTGGGGGTCCAGATAACAGCTGTCTTCGGAGGTTTTCTGAGCCTCACCTGGAGCTTCTGGCCGGATTACCAGATGCCTGGCAAGGATGGGACTGCTGAAGGAAGAAGTAGGCCACAAACACTCTTTTCTTTCTTGTTGGCCCACAGGAATCTCCTACCAGCGGCTAGTGAGGGCGGAGCAGGGTCTACCCACCAGGACTCACCGTAGTTCCACCGTGTGAGTGATGTGGGGGAGGGAGACACAGGGCAGGGACCTCCCACCCTTCACTGGCCCAACACCCCAGCACCCAGCACTCCCATCACTGCATCCCTCTCACCCCAGCCACCAACATCAGGCTTCAAGGAGGCCAAGACGCTTCAGAATGGCTGGTGGCATTTTGTGCACAAGTTTGTTTTTCTAGACTGAGGGTCCTTCTTCAGATTCTGGAAGGGGTCTGCATCCATCAGGCCAGTGCTGGGCACACTGGCCTCTACTTTTCTGATGAAGAAACTGGAGGTCACAGAGGCCAATAACTTCCACAAGGTCACACAGCTACCCAGTGTCCAAGTCAGGATTTGAACCTCAGTCTTAGTCAAAAGCCCCTGATCTTTCTGCAGTGTCTACTGTTACTGAAAGAGTGTTTTCCAAACTCTTTTGACTAAGACTTAGCAAAAAAAGCACACTTTTTATGACAGCCTGGCGCAGAGAGAGAAAGAGAGAGAGCTGAAACAAGTTTCATTTCCTGATACCCTACCATGCAGGATGAGCTCCTCAGAGGCCTGGGCCTCCACGGAGCTAAGCCACACAGGCACAAAGGGTGCAGCTGCACCTTGGCCTGCTGCCCAGCCCCAGGCACCATAACCGGTCCTCTGTGTCCCCAGCACTGTGCTGTTGCTGAACCCAGTGGAGGTGCAGGCCGAGTTTCTCGCTGTGGCTGACAAGCTGAGCACACCAGGGCACTCGCCTCACAGTGCTTACACCACCCTGCTCCTGCATGCCTTCCAGGCCACCTTCGGGGCCCACTGCGACCTTCCCAGCCTGCACCACAGGCTGCAGGTATGACCCAGGGGGTGAGTCACCCCCCCTATAAAGGCACAGCCCCCCTTCTGCATCTGGGCTGCTGTGTCCAGTTCACGTGCCTCCCTCACCTGACTGACACACTGGGCAGAGCAGGACCTCGGCCCGCAGCAAGCGGTGCCCTGGCACTAAGTTAGGCTCTGCAAAGAAGGCACATGTGTGGGAATGGGAATGAACTTTGGCGGGAAGGTCTGGCCTCTAGACCCGGGTTGATGACCAGTTAGCCGGGCAGCCCTTCCCTGTCTGGGGTACGTTGAGGATCTTTTCACACACTGCAGCACTCTGCCTCTTGCCCTTTCTCTCCTGACCATTTTCTGAGGGTAGAGGTGAGGTGGAGGGAGGAGGGGAGGCACACAGCTCCCTGGCCAGCCATAGAGAAGTGGATGATGAGGCCAGGGAGCAGATTGGTCACTGCTGCCCTTGGTCAGACCCTGGGAGCTGGAAAAGACAAGCATCCAGGCCATGGGACTGGAACAAACCTTGTGTCTTCCTGGGCTTTCAGTCCAAGACTCTGGCAGAGCTCGAGGACATCTTCACGGAGACCGCAGAAGCCCAGGAGCTGGCATCTGGCATTGGGGATGCAGCTGAGGCCCGGCAATGGCTCAGGACCAAGCTGCAGGCTGTGGGAGAAAAAGCCGGCTTCGCTGGGATTGTAGGTGAGGCTCTGGAGCAGTGGGGTTCTACCTGGTCTCCCCATCCCCCGTTCTGGCCTCAGGGATGTGCAGCCCAGTGGGCCTGGTGCCTCTGCTCCTAGTTGTAAGAAGAGGAAAACACAGGGCTCATTGAGGGCACAGGGCTTGGTTGTTTTGTCAAAACTAAACATATCGCTTATCACTTCTGCACATATCCCTTTGGGTCTACCTGTGTCACATGGCCACATCTTGTCCTCAAGAAGCCTGGAAAATGTCCTCTCAGCAGCAGTTCCCCAATCAGAATAAGGGAGCAATTCCTTTTATGATATTCTTCATAAAAAACCTTTTAAGGGGCCTGGCAAGGTAGCTCATCCTTGTAATCCCAGCTACTCAGGAACCGGTTATCAGGAGGATCCCTTCAAGGCCAGCCTGGGCAAAAAGTTAGTGAGATCGCCATTTCAATCAGTAAGCTGGGTGTGGTGGTGTGTGCCTGGCATCTCAGTTACACACAAGAGGTTGTAAGTAGGAGGATCACAGTCTAGGGTTGACCCCATGGAACTTTGCAAGACCCTATCTGAAAAATAACTAAAAAGCAAAAAAGGGCTATGGGCGAGGCTCAAGTGGTAGAATGCCTTATTAAATGCAAGACCCTGAGTTCAAACTCCAGTACTACCAAAGGTGGTTCTATACTTTTCTCATTTGCCCATTTGGACATCGTAAAATGAGGCTCAGAGGCTGTGATTTAGCCACACCCACACAGCTAGTAAAAGTGTGCTTCAAAAAAAGCTCGTCTCTCTCTCTCTCTCTCTCACTGGGCCTTGGCCCATCCAGCAGAGTGGCCTCCTGCCAGTCCTTTCCCAGCTCCTTTCTCCTGCTACCCTGCTCTTACAGACACTGCAAAACCCGGGAAGCTCCACACTATTCCCATCCCTGTCGCCAGGTGCTACACCTACAGCTGGAACCAGGACAGCTTTGGTAAGAAGTGACCTGGGCCCTGGGGACATCCTGCCCGCACACACTGCAGAGTTCTCTTTCCGGTGCTGAGTCCTGTACCACCTCTCACTGCACCATGCTGTAGGCGCAGCAAGCTGTAGGAGGGGGGCCCCAAATCCTCTCCTGCCCCACCTCAAGTCCACTGGGGCCTGCCACCCTCTCCAGGGACTCAAGACCACAGACCCAATCAGTGCCCTTGATCCCTGTAGACATCCTCCAGGAAATCCTACTCAAGGAACAAGAGCTACTGCATCCAGGGATCCTGGGGGATGGTGAAGAGGAGGAAGAGGAGGACGAGGAGGACGAGGAGGACGACTTGGAAACTGATGGACACTGTGCTGAGAGGGACTCACTGCTTTCCACAAGCTCTTTGGTATCTGGAGACTCCACCCTGTCGCTTGCCTCCTCCCAGGCCTCAGGGCCAGCACTGTCCCGCCAGCTGCTGACCTCTTTCGTCTCACGCCTCTCGGATGGCATGGACAGTGGCTACGTGGAGGATAGTGAGGAGAGCTCCTCTGAGTGGCCAAAAAGGAATGGCAGCCAGGAACGTCGGGGCCACCGCAGACCAGGGCAGAAGTTCAACAGGATCTATAAACTTTTCAAGAGTACCAGCCAGCTGGTAATGCGCAAGGAGTCTCGGGGCCAGGAGGGCAACTCGGACACAACCCTGCCACTGAGGCGGGCAGGGAGCCTCTGCAGCCCCCTGGACTATTCGGCACAACTTCCCTCTCGGGCCCAGCGCTCACACTCCCTGCCCCAGCCCAGCAGCACCCAGCTGCCCGGTTGGCTTCTGACCCCTGCCTCACGCCATCAGCGCCGCCGTCCTTTCCTGAGTGGGGATGAAGACCCCAAGGCTTCCACACTACGGGTGGTGGTCTTTGGTTCTGATCGGATCTCAGGGAAGGTGGCTCGGGCATACAGCAACCTCCGGTAAGAGCTGTAAAGGGCCCTGTCACTCTGACTCGGGCAGCAGGCTGGGCAGGCCCAGGGTCCCTGAGAGACCAAGGGTTCGATTCTCACCATCTTCTCTCCAGGAGACTGGAGAACAATCGCCCTCTGCTCACAAGGTTCTTCAAGCTTCAGTTCTTTTACGTGCCTGTGAAGCGAAGCCATGGGACCAGTGCCAGCCCATCCCCTCCGAGGCAGCCATCTCCCCTCCCCACAGACTCTCCAAGGCACCCCTGCCCTGCAGTATGTCTCCAGTCCTGGGCCAGGTGGGGTGGGAAAGTAGAAGCTAGAATGGATAAGCCTCCTGGGTAGCTGGGAATGACTCTTGTCCCCTGTCCCAGGAGCTGGGCAAGGTGCTGTGGGAGGACAGTACCAATGACATCTCCCACTACCTCGGCATGCTTGACCCCTGGTACGAGCGCAACGTGTTGGGTCTCATGCATTTGCCCCCTGAAGTCCTGTGCCAGGTAAGTGGTTCCTGGAGTCAAAGTCAGAGACTACTGGCTGCTATCACTCAGCTTCACTTAGAAGGCTCTGTCTGGGTTTGGGGGATCCTGCTAGAGGCCTCCCTGAAGGACCTGGTCCTGAGAAGCAGGACTGAGCCTAAACCCACTGGGGACAGAGCTGAGGTCCCTGCCGAGACAGGACAGGATTCTCAGAAGGGTCCAGAGGACTTTAGATTTTAGTTCTTTTCCTCCTGGCTTGTCCAGCTTGACCATGTGGCTCCCTGGATCTCCAGTGTCACCTGAAGGGGGGATATGAAGACTGCACTGGGATCCCCACCCACAACCCTCTCTCCAGGTTTTCTCTCACCTTCTCTCTCTTCCTGGTTCTGTTGCCTCCAAACCTCTTCTCTCTGCCTCTGTGTGTGTCTTGCCTCCCTTCCTCTCACGGCCTTTGGCTCTCTGTCCTCCTATCTCTCTGGCTTGGCTCCCTTATGGACCACAGCAATCCCTAAAGGCTGAATCCCGGCCCCTGGAAGGCTCCCCGGTCCAGCTGCCCATCCTGGCTGACATGCTACTCTACTACTGCCGCTTTGCCGCCCGGCCAGTGCTATTACAAGTCTATCAGACAGAGGTAAGGCCCACCTCGCCCACTGCTCCTTCTCCCAAGCCTTGGTCAGCACTGGTGTCCCCCGTAACCATGCCCCACCCAGCCGGTGAGAAGAGGTCTACACTGATACACGTGCTCCTTCCCTTTCTAGCTGACCTTTGTTGATGGGGAGAAGACGACTGAGATCTTCATTCACTCCCTGGAGCTGGGTCACTCTGCTGCCACACGAGCTATCAAGGCTTCTGGTGAGAAGGGTGGGGAGGTGGAGCCAGAAGAAGGCGGAGCCAAGGAGGGAGGGATCCAGGGAGGCGGGGCCCTAAGGAGGAAGGTGGTGCTCTGCAGAAGAGGGTGCACCTGGAGAAAGGGCCCTGGGGAGCCCAGGGGAAGCTCCAGAGATGCACGACCCTGGGAAGGCAGGACTAAGGGTCTGTGGGTGTAAGCTAAGCAACAGGGCATAAAGAGCGGGGTCTGTGTGGTACAGGTCCTGGCAGCAAGCGGCTGGGCATTGATGGTGACAGTGAGGCCGTCCCTCTAACACTACAGATTATTTACAGCAAGGTAAGACAGGTGCAAGGCCCCTTTCCCTCCCAGCTCTGCTCCTGGGCCCTCCTCCACAGAGCTTGGGTCCAGACCCGACTGTGTTTCTGGGCCTCACAGGCTCCCCTGGGTGCTGAGAGAAAGTGACCAGGGTGGGAATGGATATCTCTTCCCCTTTGGCGTTCAGAGTCTCCCAAGGCAGCAGGAACCAGGGTCTCTAGGCTGAGAGGGTCTGGCTGTGCTACATTCTAGGGGTCCATCAGTGGACGAAGCCGCTGGTGCAGCCTGGAGAAAGTTTGTACCTCTGTCAACCTCAACAAGGCCTGCCAGAAGCAGGAGGAGCTAGGTGAGTGTGGAAGGGATTGGGAAGAGCATGGCAGGGAAGGGTTCTGGGCCTGGCCTGAACCACCCTTGACTTCCAGACTCTAGCACGGAGGCCCTGACGCTAACCTTGACAGAAGTGGTGAAAAGGCAAAACCCCAAATCCAAGAAGGGCTTTAACCAGGTAAGGGCTTCCCTCTCCTTCCAGGCACACCCTCAGGAGACTTGCTGAAGTGTGTGTACACAAGTGCGTAGTGTTAGTGTGTGTGTGCATTTATCCCTGCACGTGTATTTGTATGTGTACAGATATTTGTAAACATGTGATGTGTGTGTGTTTGTGTGTACTGTGGCGGCGGGGGGATGTTTGCAGCAGGGCTCATGTCTGGGAAAGGAGAGGCATATGAGGGGTGTAGTCTGGGGTGCACACAGGTGTAGGGGCTTGGTGGATGTCAGAGTGAGAAGGGTGTCCTGTGGACAATGTGTGCTTGGAAAGTTTGTGTGGTGGCCACTAGGAGAGCTCTGAGTCTGAGGCAAAGTGGATCCCATGTCAGGGAACTCCAGGGCTCTCCCAGTTGGGATGTGTGGGCAGTGTAGCCTCCTCAAAGGCTCGGGAAAGGGCAGAGGCCAGAGAGGAGGCAGGATCTGATGGTGGCCTCAGAACCCCTCCCCTAACCTGGCCTTTGGCCCTGGGAAGCTGCCAGCCAAACTTCTGTCCCTCACTCCCCCAGACCTAATGGGCAATTCTGGGAGAAGGAAGCACTAAGGGCTGTTAGGATTGTGTAGCCAGGTCTCCAGGGTCTGACACAGCCTACCTTGCAGATTAGCACATCACAGATCAAAGTGGACAAGGTACAGATCATTGGCTCCAATGGCTGTCCCTTTGCGGTATGTCTGGACCAGGATGAGAGAAAGATCCTCCAGAGTGTGGTCAGGTAGGAAAGGGGCCCAGCCCTGCTTTAGAAAAGGGTGGGGTGGGGGTTACAAAGTGGATCATTTCTATTCTCCCACCCAAGGCCTGGAAGGAGCCGGAGACATGGTTGGGAGGCCTGTCCTTACCCTTGCCCTGCCTCACAGGTGTGAGGTGTCACCCTGCTACAAGCCAGAGAAGAGTGGACTACCTCCCCAGAGACTTCTGGACCCACCAGCCCAGGCTGTGCCTGACCTCTGCTCCCTGCTCTGCCTGCCCATTATGACTTTCAGCGGAGCTCTGCCCTAGCATGGTCCTGGCGCCAGACTGGACAGGAAGTGCTTTGCAGCTTCCTCTGGACCCCTCTCTGGGACAGTCTCTCTGTGGAGAACTGAGCAGCCCTGTGGAGGGTCAGTTTCCCGTCTTTGGGCCCTCCAGCAGGCTCAGGGCATAGTGGTGGGTTTTTCTGGGGCCTCCAGGGTCTAGGGAGGAAACAGATATTAGGGAGACAGGAGTCTGAACACTTGGCCTCTCGGGTTCTTCACAGCAGAAGAAGCTGTAACTGGGGAGTTGACCTGCAAAGCAAGGTTTGACGCTCTGGTGCTCTTGCTGTGGGTTAGGCTTCCTATTGGCTGGGTGCAGGTGCCCACACACATACTTTCTCCTCTCAAGTTCCCTGGTCCTCTGAAAAACAGCACTAATATTTGACCTGCTGTTGCCAGAAACTGTTACATATTCTCTCTTGAGCTTCTTTCTGGGTCTGAGGTGCTGGGGGAAACAGGACAGACTTGCGTGCAATAGCAGCTCAGTTACCTTCTAGCTAAATGACCAGAGAAAGTTCATGAACTTTTTTGAGCCTCCATTTCCTCAGCACTAAAACTGGAGGGAATAAGCCTTCCTTAAAGGGTTGAAAAGAGCACTTTGCTCAGCACCTGATGCTCGGGAAAGATTGGGACCTTGCTCTCTCAATGCTGATTCCCTGTCTTTGGCCACAGGGACACTCTCACTGCCTCTGGAATGCTCCTCATTTACTTCTTCCCAGTCCACAATAGGGACTGAACCCAGACTGAGGGGGTAAAGAGCCATCAATTGTACCTTCCAAAGGACTTGCCTTTGTCAAGGTCAAGGGAGGGCTGCTTGAGTGTCCACCTTCACCTCGTTCTCTTTCAGGCTTGTCCCAGTGTACCCCACTCCCACCTCCCTCTGTGCACCATTGTGTGTAGAATCTTCCACCGCCTAAGTTTACTGGCACCATTCCAGCACCTGGGCAAGACCCCAGAGGGTTAGACGAGGGAGGGACTGGCCTCACAAGCTTAGTGCTATAGGACTTATGTGTAGGAAATAGCACATGATAGAACATGAGTACCTAAAATTTAAGCCCAGCAGGTTGGCTTGGTTTGAGGAGCTGACACAAATATGGCCAGGGTGACAGGTTGAAGGGCTAGACAAGACTTGGACTGATACAGGTGGAAAAAAATAACTGTGGAAGCATAGCATTATGTCCTGCACAGAGTCCCCTCCTGTCCTCCTCCTGGTTCCTCCTGCTCCGTGACTCATGACTTGAGAGAAGTCAAAAGAACCTCTGTGTCACCATTTCCCCTGTGGGTATTGTGGGAAGGGTGTCTGGAAGAACAGATGGCCATGTAGCTTTAACACTTTTTTTTTTTTTTTGCGGTATCAGGGTAGAATTGATGCATGTAATTTAATGTTATTGTCAAATAAACTTCACTTGTCTTGTATTTCATGCCCTACACTTGTTTTGCTGCACAGCAGTTGACCACTATTTGAACAGTTAATACATCATTTCATACATAACAGAACAAAGACTCTGGAGAGTTGTTTTGTTTCTCTTTTTGCAATTTTTTACTCTATAGAAAATATATTTATGGTAAAAATTTTCCCTGATACTGTTCTAGACAATTAAACAGTTGGGATTCCCCATACCACTCCACTTGAAAAATATAAGCCAATATATATCAGAACCCCAAGCCACAGGGCAAGGTGGGCCTGAGCCTATTGTCAGTGATGGGTGGTACAGAAAACCCTGGACTGAGAGGAAGGGAAGGGACTCAATAGTGGGCCTCCAAACCCCAGATTGACATTAGCCTTGGGTTACTCGGAGGGAAAGAAGAGGAGGTGCCGGGATAGTGGGCACCTGTGACTGGGGAGGGGTAGTAAGCACCAGGATCCCAGAGCTGCTGGTTGGGATGGAGGGAGGAGGAACTGTGGGGTGCTGCACCCTACATCAGCCAGCTCTTTTCAACAATGAAGCATACCTAAGACTCTCTGGATTAAAATTGAGCATTCAGCCTTGTCCTTGCAGCTACGGGGTGTCTAGAGCTCCCCAATCTAGGGTGGGCTTAGGAGGATTGGTTCCAGGCTGCAGGTTGGGTCTAGAGCTTCCCTGTGGGTTTCCCAGTCACCTTGGCCTGACGTGCTGGAACAAGACAAAATGCCTACAAGGGCTGAGTCTGGGATTTGAGCAGTATCTCTTCTATCAATACTCAACTGGGAAAAATCTGTGAAGCACATCAACCCACAGGGCACAGAAAAATCCCACAAGAAGGGTACTTCACCTCCGATGCTCTTTCCAGGGCCCTGTAACATTAGTCAAATCCTGAGAAAAATAGCAGACATCCTGAGACGTTCTACAGGATGATCTGGCCAGTAGGAAAAGACTAAAGAACTCACAAACCCAAGGAGAGTGGGTAAACCTGAAAACCAAATACAATATGGAAACTAGGATTGCATCTTGAAACAGAAAGAAGTCATTCATTAATGAGAAAAATGGTGAAATACCAATAAAGTATGCAGTTTAAGTTTTTTAACACACATACACACTCCTCCTTACCAAATTCCTAAAGAAGAATGTAATAAAATTTTAAGACAGAGAGAAATAAAGTACTAACAATCTAAGAATTCTTTTCTCAACAGAAACAATGGAAGACAGAAGCCAATGAAATGACATCTCTAAAGTACTGAAAAATACAACTGTGAACTTGGAATCCTACACTCAGAATTGTCTTTAAGTTTCTTTGCCAATTATATACTGCTCACAAGAGACACCCTTTAAATATAAGATCACAGAAAGGTTGAAAGCAAAAACATGCAGAGGATAACACCAGCCAGACCTGACCCAAAAATCTGGCACTGTTGCACTGATAGTAAACAATGATTTAATACAAAAGATGGACAACAACATTTCATAAACATAAGGAATCAATCCAACAAAAAGGATACTGGAATTATATGTACCCAATAACATACTTTTGAACTATATAAAGAAAATTATCATATTAAAAGTCTCTACAGATATAGTGAAGGACTTCTCTCAAAAGCTGAAGAATAAATAGATACTAAAATATGAATACATATGCAGAAGATCTGGATAACACAATTTAATTTTCTTGTTTCATTGAAATAGAATACTGTTCCGCCCAGAAGCTGGGGGGAGGGAGGAGGTGGCCCAAATAATGTATACAAATGTAAGAAAGTGTTAAAATGATAAAAATTTTAAAAAGAAATAGAATACTGTGCCCAACAACAGAATTTTATATGCAAAACGAGAGAGAGAGAAAAGAAGAAGAAGAAGAAGAAGCAGCGAAGGAAGAAGAAGAAAAGGAGGAGGAGAAGAAGGAAGAAGAAGAGAAGGAAGGAAGGAAAGAAGTACAAAAGCAGAAATCACTGAATTAGAAAACCAATATACTAATTCATAAAAACTCCTGGCAAATACTGATAGAGATAGAGACAGATGGGCGGGGGGGGGGGGGAAGAGGAGAGAGAGACCATTACTAACATAAACAAGAACATCTCTACAGATCTAACAGCATTAAAAAGATAAGAATTTTACAAACAAATTTGGCAATTTGGGTAAAATGGAGAAAGTGATCAAAATACAGTTTTCTAATCTGACAGAAGAAATGGAAATCGAGCAATTCTTCTCTTCTCTTCTCTATAAATATTGTCCCCCTCAGCCTTTGTTCAGGTTTTTCTCTTTGTGTTTGAGTTACTGTAGTTAGAATATGAAGTGGTTTTTTGAGACAATGTCTTGCTGTATTGCTCAGGCTTGCCTTGAACTCCTGGGCTCAAGGGATTCTCCTGTCTCAGTGAAGGAATCCTTAGTCATTATTTTTAAATATTTCTTCTGTTTCTTTCTCTATTCTCCTAGTATTCTCATGCTTTTTATATTCTACAGTTCTTGGATATTCTGTCCGGTCTTTTTAATTCTTTTTTTTCTCTTTGTATTTCAGTTTGGGAGGTTTCTATATGCCTTTCTTTAGCAACACAGATTCATTATTTGGTTAGGTACAATCAATTAGCCCATCAAAGTGATAAGGAAACCCAGAGAAAGATCAAAGCCGGGGAAAGGATCAAAAATGAGTAAAGCCCTTCCCCCTAGCCAGGGCCCTTGCATCCAGCTATCTCACTAGGAACTGGGGACGGCCTTCATCCACAGGTGCACTGACATAACATATTGTAACCTTGAAGAGCTAACTGCCATGTCTGCTTCTGCACTCTCTGCTTGCTTGCTGCTGCTTTTCTTGGTATAAAAACTTCAACCACTCTGAGCTTGGGGCCAGTGCCATTTTTGGAGAGATCCAGGGTGCTGGCCCGTTAGCATAATAAATCTTCCTTTCCTCCAACCACCTGGGTTTGAGTCTTATTCTTGCTGGTCAGTCACATTTCTGCAACATTTTGGAGGCCCCAACAAGATCAGACCCATTAGGCAATGGGTCCCCACTCCCTGACCCTGTAGCCTGCAGAGGTTGCTGGAACTGGGAAGTGCGCACCCTCGATGTGATTCCAGGGTCTCCTTCCAGACAACTGAAAGAGGCTGTGGAGCCAAGGACCAGGCCCTCGGACTGGTGGAATGAAACGGAGCCTGCACCAGACGTCTGGACCAGGTAGGAGCCCCGTGGTAGTCAGTGTAAGTAGCAGGTACGGACTGATCTTCCACAGACCAACTGAGCCCTGATGTGATTCCAGGGTGATGCATCCAGGGGGCCTCTTCCTCTGGGACCGATGTGATTCTGGTCAACTAGGTTTAGGGACCAATGTGATTCCAGTCAACTGGGTTTAGAGCAAGCCAGGATTTTAGGGGAAATAAATAGAGACTGATTGTTTTAAACCCTGAGTGAATGGTGTGTGACTGTGCAGCTTGACTCACTTGCATTTCAAGCTGCAATCTGTGGCCCCATGGCTGGGCACCCTTAAGGTCCCCTGAAGGCTGTGGAGTCTGAGTGGGCTCGTCCTGCAATTTCACAGTGATTGACATGATCTGTGGTGGGATTGGGCTAGCGCCTGATCATAAGTCACCCTGTTGGGCTGATCCCACTATGGATAAGTCACACCTGACCTCATTGTTTGGGGTTGCAACCAGGCGAGCATCTGTGTGGCCTCACTGAGAGGCATCCCCCTCCTTTGTCTGTCTTGCAACATCAGCAATTATCAGGCACATATAAAATGGGCATCCTGAAAGAGGACTGAGGCTCGGCACTAACTGAGCTGTTACAAAAATTAACATATAAAAAATGGGCTTACAGTGATGTATAAGATCTGGTCTGACTTAAAAGAAAAGAAATGTTACAGAAGGGTTATAAATGTAGAGAGAGGGAAATGAAAAAATAAAAACAAAATTGGGATAAAGTCTTCAAAAAAACTGTTCCAAAAGGTAGATGCAGTAAGCTTGGCATGTTATTGAGACAGTCATGAGATGCTTATGCTTCTCTTGCTGATGGCTAGTCAGATTATGCATCCATCTAACGGTGTGCTCACAGTGTGTGTGCATATGTAAACATCTTCAAAATGGCTCTTAAAATGCTGCTATAAGGTTAATATGATACTCAAGGTAACAAAAAAAGAAGGTATTTATTTTAAAGATCTCTGCTATAAACTGCTTGGGCTTTTTACACATGAATATGTGAACATCTTGAGAACAGTTCTTATTATAGAGTCAATGTAAAATTATTACTCTGTTCTGCTGCTACTTTTTAAGAAAACAGGTTTTCAGACATATTTCAATCAGGTCTCACTAGGATGCAGACATTCAGGGGTTAAAACTCCAGCTCAAACCAAAGGAAAAAAGAAAAGTGGGGCCACAGCCTGCAGCAGGAATATTGAAATTTGGGTAATTAAAGAAATGACCTTCACATGTTTCATTCTGCCATAAATACAATCTGGAATTAAATTCTCTTTTATAATACAGGGGTCTGTTAACAAATGGGCTCCACTGGGTCAAAACGCCTGACGGTGCTCCAGACTATGCTTGCTAACTTTAGGAAAGGTTTTTCAGGTGACTATGGGGTTAAAATGAAACCAGCCAAGCTTCCGAGATTCTGTGAATTGGAAAGGCCCGCCTTTAACACAGGATGGCCAGCAGAGGGCACCCTAGACATGGCTATTATCACCTGCATCAGAAACGTAATCGGGGATCCAGGTCATCCTGACCAGTTCCCCTACATACACATATGACAGACATTGACAGCTCATCCTCCTTGACTTAAAAAATGCTTTAAAGACAGTTACAAGATTGTGATGTCAAGGTCAACAAATACTGAGACTCTTAAAAAAAAAAAAAAGGCTCCTCCCCCAGTGCTCCAGACGCTCCTCAACATGGAAAAATGGAGAAGCGGTGCCCAAGCAGCCCTGTGTTGGTTTGAGGCTCATGCCCCTCCCCCACAACAGGACGCATGATGTATGGCCTATGCCCAGACGGCTTTTCCAGAAGCTAAACCTGCATGGGACCCAAATGAAACAGAAAGCCAAGACAACTTACATAGATATAAAGGGGCTCTGATGACAGGTCTAACAAAAAAATAGAGACTACATTCAATAGAGACTGCCTTAAAGGGGCCAGAGATATCCTTTAAGGTTCTGGGAGTGTGGGCTGAAGACAGTCCTCCAGAGCTGGCCATCAGCATTCCTCCAGTGGCAATAGAGATAAACCCAGGAGTCACTCCAATAAGAGTGACACAATACCCAATCCTGATGAGGATGCAAAAAGAAATATCTCATCACCTCAAGAGACTTTAAACTATGGAATCTTAAGACCTTGCCAATCTGCTTGGAACACCCCCTTGCTGCCAGTTCAGAAGCCGGGTACCAATGATTACCACCCAGTGCAGGATCTCCGGGCAATCAAGCAGCAGTGACTCTGCACCCAGTGGTTCCTAATCCATACACCTTACTGGCCCTGATAGCAGCAGAGGCAACCTGCTTCTCGTGCTTGGACTTAAAAGATGCATTCTTCTGTGTCCAGTTGGCACCTGTGAGCCAACCATCTTTTCTTTCCAGTGAGAGGACCACCAGTCAGAGGGACAACAACAGTTAACCTGGACCTGTCTCCCACAGGGTTTCAAGAACTCCCCAAGCATCTTTGGAACTGCTCTGGCATCAGATTTATGAGCAGACTCAGCAGAGGAAGCTGGCTGCACACCTTACAATATGTGGATGACCTCCTCCTTGCAGCAGCTAACCACCAAGACTGTCTTAAAGGGACAGAGCTCTTACTCCATCTCTTATGGGGAGCTGGTTACAAGGTATCTTGAAAGAAGGCCCAGATCTGTCAAGACCAGGTCAATATTTGGGTTTCACCTCTCCCAAGGCCAGCAGTACCTTGGCACACACACAAAAAAAGCTCTCTGTTCAATCCTGACTCCAACTTCCAAAAGACAAATCCGTGACCAAATTTAGATAAAGGAGTGAAATCTTCAGCCTCTCCAGCCTCAGTAGAGAGGGCCCTTTCGGTGATCCTAACCACTCCCACAGCAATCAAGGTGACAGAGATCACCCCATGGATCCATCACACCTGAGTAAAGAAGGCAACTCCTGAGTAAAAAAGTCAACTGGACTCCAGCGATCTGCTCAAACTGACCCTGAGGAGGGTCC